CACCCACAAATCACATAACAACCAATCATACACCCACAAATCACATAACAACCAATCATACAGCCACAAATCACATAACAACCAATCATACACCCACAAATCACATAACAACCAATCATACACCCACAAATCACATAACAACCAATCATACACCCACAAATCACATAACAACCAATCATACACCCACAAATCACATAACAACCAATCATACAGCCACAAATCACATAACAACCAATCATACACCCACAAATCACATAACAACCAATCATACACCCAAAAATCATATAGCAACCAATCATACAGCCACAAATCACATAACAACCAATCATACAGCCACAAATCACATAACAACCAATCATACACCCACAAATCACATAACAACCAATCATACACCCACAAATCACATAACAACCAATCATACAGCCACAAATCACATAACAACCAATCATACAGCCACAAATCACATAACAACCAATCATACACCCACAAATCACATAACAACCAATCATACACCCACAAATCACATAACAACCAATCATACAGCCACAAATCACATAACAACCAATCATACACCCACAAATCACATAACAACCAATCATACACCCACAAATCACATAACAACCAATCATACACCCACAAATCACATAACAACCAATCATACAGCCACAAATCACATAACAACCAATCATACACCCACAAATCATATAACAACCAATCATACAGCCACAAATCACATAACAACCAATCATACACCCACAAATCACATAACAACCAATCATACACCCACAAATCACATAACAACCAATCATACAGCCACAAATCACATAACAACCAATCATACACCCACAAATCACATAACAACCAATCATACACCCACAAATCACATAACAACCAATCATACACCCACAAATCACATAACAACCAATCATACAGCCACAAATCACATAACAACCAATCATACACCCACAAATCACATAACAACCAATCATACAGCCACAAATCACATAACAACCAATCATACACCCACAAATCACATAACAACCAATCATACAGCCACAAATCACATAACAACCAATCATACACCCACAAATCACATAACAACCAATCATACAGCCACAAATCACATAACAACCAATCATACACCCACAAATCACATAACAACCAATCATACACCCACAAATCACATAACAACCAATCATACAGCCACAAATCACATAACAACCAATCATACACCCACAAATCACATAACAACCAATCATACACCCACAAATCACATAACAACCAATCATACAGCCACAAATCACATAACAACCAATCATACACCCACAAATCACATAACAACCAATCATACACCCAAAAATCATATAGCAACCAATCATACAGCCACAAATCACATAACAACCAATCATACAGCCACAAATCACATAACAACCAATCATACACCCACAAATCACATAACAACCAATCATACACCCACAAATCACATAACAACCAATCATACAGCCACAAATCACATAACAACCAATCATACACCCACAAATCACATAACAACCAATCATACACCCACAAATCACATAACAACCAATCATACAGCCACAAATCACATAACAACCAATCATACAGCCACAAATCACATAACAACCAATCATACACCCACAAATCACATAACAACCAATCATACAGCCACAAATCACATAACAACCAATCATACACCCACAAATCACATAACAACCAATCATACAGCCACAAATCACATAACAACCAATCATACACCCACAAATCACATAACAACCAATCATACAGCCACAAATCACATAACAACCAATCATACACCCACAAATCACATAACAACCAATCATACAGCCACAAATCACATAACAACCAATCATACACCCACAAATCACATAACAACCAATCATACAGCCACAAATCACATAACAACCAATCATACACCCACAAATCATATAACAACCAATCATACAGCCACAAATCACATAACAACCAATCATACACCCACAAATCATATAGCAACCAATCATACACCCACAAATCACATAACAACCAATCATACACCCACAAATCACATAACAACCAATCATACAGCCACAAATCACATAACAACCAATCATACACCCACAAATCACATAACAACCAATCATACACCCACAAATCACATAACAACCAATCATACACCCACAAATCACATAACAACCAATCATACAGCCACAAATCACATAACAACCAATCATACACCCACAAATCATATAGCAACCAATCATACAGCCACAAATCACATAACAACCAATCATACACCCACAAATCACATAACAACCAATCATACACCCACAAATCACATAACAACCAATCATACAGCCACAAATCACATAACAACCAATCATACACCCACAAATCACATAACAACCAATCATACACCCACAAATCACATAACAACCAATCATACAGCCACAAATCACATAACAACCAATCATACACCCACAAATCACATAACAACCAATCATACACCCACAAATCACATAACAACCAATCATACAGCCACAAATCACATAACAACCAATCATACACCCACAAATCACATAACAACCAATCATACACCCACAAATCACATAACAACCAATCATACAGCCACAAATCACATAACAACCAATCATACACCCACAAATCACATAACAACCAATCATACACCCACAAATCACATAACAACCAATCATACAGCCACAAATCACATAACAACCAATCATACACCCACAAATCATATAACAACCAATCATACAGCCACAAATCACATAACAACCAATCATACACCCACAAATCACATAACAACCAATCATACACCCACAAATCACATAACAACCAATCATACAGCCACAAATCACATAACAACCAATCATACACCCACAAATCACATAACAACCAATCATACAGCCACAAATCACATAACAACCAATCATACACCCACAAATCACATAACAACCAATCATACACCCACAAATCACATAACAACCAATCATACAGCCACAAATCACATAACAACCAATCATACACCCACAAATCACATAACAACCAATCATACACCCACAAATCACATAACAACCAATCATACAGCCACAAATCACATAACAACCAATCATACACCCACAAATCATATAGCAACCAATCATACAGCCACAAATCACATAACAACCAATCATACACCCACAAATCACATAACAACCAATCATACACCCACAAATCACATAACAACCAATCATACAGCCACAAATCACATAACAACCAATCATACACCCACAAATCACATAACAACCAATCATACACCCACAAATCACATAACAACCAATCATACAGCCACAAATCACATAACAACCAATCATACACCCACAAATCACATAACAACCAATCATACACCCACAAATCACATAACAACCAATCATACAGCCACAAATCACATAACAACCAATCATACACCCACAAATCACATAACAACCAATCATACACCCACAAATCACATAACAACCAATCATACAACCACAAATCACATAACAACCAATCATACAGCCACAAATCACATAACAACCAATCATACACCCACAAATCACATAACAACCAATCATACACCCACAAATCACATAACAACCAATCATACAACCACAAATCACATAACAACCAATCATACAGCCACAAATCACATAACAACCAATCATACACCCACAAATCACATAACAACCAATCATACACCCACAAATCACATAACAACCAATCATACAGCCACAAATCACATAACAACCAATCATACACCCACAAATCACATAACAACCAATCATACACCCACAAATCACATAACAACCAATCATACAGCCACAAATCACATAACAACCAATCATACACCCACAAATCACATAACAACCAATCATACACCCACAAATCACATAACAACCAATCATACAGCCACAAATCACATAACAACCAATCATACACCCACAAATCACATAACAACCAATCATACACCCACAAATCACATAACAACCAATCATACAACCACAAATCACATAACAACCAATCATACAGCCACAAATCACATAACAACCAATCATACACCCACAAATCACATAACAACCAATCATACACCCACAAATCACATAACAACCAATCATACAACCACAAATCACATAACAACCAATCATACAGCCACAAATCACATAACAACCAATCATACACCCACAAATCACATAACAACCAATCATACACCCACAAATCACATAACAACCAATCATACACCCACAAATCACATAACAACCAATCATACAACCACAAATCACATAACAACCAATCATACAGCCACAAATCACATAACAACCAATCATACACCCACAAATCACATAACAACCAATCATACACCCAAAAATCATATAGCAACCAATCATACAGCCACAAATCACATAACAACCAATCATACAACCACAAATCACATAACAACCAATCATACACCCACAAATCACATAACAACCAATCATACACCCACAAATCACATAACAACCATAACAACCAATCATACAGCCACAAATCACATAACAACCAATCATACAGCCACAAATCACATAACAACCAATCATACACCCACAAATCATATAGCAACCAATCATACAGCAACAAATCATTTAGCAACCAATCATACAGTCACAAATCACTTTACAACAAATCATACAGTCACAAATCACATGACAATCAATCATACCGACACAAATCACATAGCGACCAATCAGACAGTCACCAAGCAAAGAACATCAAACCAATAACCAAATTCCAGTACTATTAATGCTTTGGGATTTCTGAAGCACCATATTATATCAGTGCTTTTGGTTTGTGAATATAAGTGTCGATATAGATTACCTTTTATAGAAAGATTTTGCTCGTCTTTAAATTCAGAGCACCAAAACGATGTTTCTAACTTTTATAATCGTTCTTGTTTTCTTTTCTTTTTTTAGGTTTAATGACGTCAAAAACATTCGGGCAGACCACAGATTACGTCAACGATACAACATCATCCTCAACAACCACGCCAACCACGTCATTTAATAATGTCACTCTATCATCTACAAACCGAACAAATGACAATTTTACATCTGCTTCGTCTTCGATAGAAATGACGTCGTCTACTCCGCCCGTCGCGTCGACACAACAAATGATGAATGGAATAACCGGGAATTCTACGTCACAGTCTGGCAACGATGCCTCCATCACAAGTACAGCAACAACAATGATGACAACGACAAAGGAACAGGAACCGTCAACAACAGCAGGAACAGTACCAGATATGACATCATCTTCTATTAATTCATCATCATTACCATCGACAGCATCCACGATGATGACGTCGACGACGAAGCCAGTGACGACAACTATGGAACCAACAACAACAATGAAAACAACGACGACAATGAAAACAACGACGACAATGAAAACAACGACAACAATGAAACCGGCGACAACAATGAAACCGGCGACAACAATGAAACCGGCGCCAACAATGAAACCAACGACAACAATGAAACCGGCGACAACAACGAAAACAAAACGAATGACTGACAAAGGTAAAACAAATCGAAACATTATAATTTAGAACTGAATCTATTTTAGTGTTTTATAAAATTAGTTAAGTGAATCGAGGAAAAGACGCTGTCTGCAACTTGCATTACTGTGCTCGAAGAACACATGGATCCGAGAATTGCGTATCATTGCAAAACGTTTGGATCACTCTGGTCGGTTGACAATAATGTGACACACTTTAAATGTGGTACTACATAACTTGAAAAAAACATAATAGGACCAATATTTAGAATTCAAGAGCCGTCCTCCCTTTAGACTCGTTCAACCTGACTCCTTTATGTTGTGTGCACAAGCTACGCTGAACAGAGTTACAAAGTGATCAAGCATGTGGTTGATCGAGACTATCCTCCCTTTCTATACGTGAAATCTTCGATGGCGTTTAACTCTAAGACGGTAATAATGCTCTTTGCATGTTGGGATAGGTCCAAAGACACTTCTGTAATTGATTCTCAAGTCCCTGTGACTTGGAATCCATACAAATCGGAACTTATGAATTTATTAGTCCGAAGGGGCATAACTCCGGTAGTCGTATAAGAAATTGGAAACAAAATGTTTTTGTTTTTTTTTGCATTTTCCCCATGATGAAACGCCATACATATACGTAGTCGCATGTTTGCTATCAACGTTGTAATTTACAATATATAACGGTGTTGCTTGACTAATTTGCACTTGTACTTTTAGTCGCAATTACCCCCAAAGAAAACATTAATCTATCCATTATTTTGATATTGTAGTTGTCGACTCCACTGTAATTCCGGAAACGTAATTATTAATTATTTTTATATTACTATTGTAGTTGTCGGCTCTACTGTGGTTCCGGAAACGATGTTTGGGACGATTGGTTTAGGTTTGTTCCTAGTCACCTTGGCTCTACTGCTTTGTGTGGTGCTTGGGATGGTAATCTATTATTTTCACATGAAGCGGAAGTCCGGCACACATTATCTCTCGGAAAATGGCGGCCCCGGTGGAAACGTGAGGGGTGGACCGATGGCTCTTCAAATGGAGGGGATTGACTACGGGACAAACTTCGAGACCATTGATTTGGAGGATGAAAGGTTTGTAATACTTAAGAAAGGCAACTAGGTGAACATATTTTGAGGTTCCTTATGAATACATAAACATGAAGATAGGGAATAAAATTTCAAAAGTTGATCGGAATGATGCATATTTTTTCGGGATTTTATATATATTATATTGCAAAGTTTAGAAATGAAATAATTGCAAATCAATTCCAAATTTAGGAATTATGTTTTCTATAATGCAAATTTTCTATGTCTTCCAGCATTTTATGAAACGTTGTTTTTTGTTTACATTAAACTGGAAAAAAAAGAATATATTCTGAGCTAATTCTTTTAAACAAAAAGAAGATGATAGGACACTCCATGTGTTATCCCCGTTATATAAATCAGGGGAGATAACTCGAAGTAGGCCAACATACTGTTTACTGGGAAATTTTCGCCCAGTCAACTCTCACCCTTTGTCAATGAAATCAATGTTCGCCCAGTGCTAAGTTTGCCCTTTATATTTAATGCCTATGTGTATTGTGTTGTTAACTTGTATTCACTGTAATGATAAATTCGCCTCATTACGGAAAATAGGCGAAAATTAAAATGCAGCGCAAATTTCGCTTAAGCAGTATATGTTGTTGTTTTGTTAAAAGGTAGACTAAGTTATCAAATTGTTATATTTTTACAGTAAACCAACAACCGGCAATGGAAGCAACCCTGGGCTTTTATCGTTCAAAAATCAGGAAGAAGAGAATGAACCCGGAAGTAACGAGGATGTGACCTCAGTAACAGAAGAACCGCCATCTTGGCTTCGCGTAGAACCGGCTCATAATGAAGACACAACCTCGAATTTCTCTACACAAGCGCAGACTGACGAGATAGAAACAAAACCGGAGGTTGAAGACCCGCTAGAAAATAACGAGCCTTCCGAATACAAGGGAGAAGATTCCGATTTGGAGTCGACAAACAGTTCGGCATTTGACGAACACGAACTTCCGCCTGCTCCACCACCAGACGTAACAGACGAACAGAAATCAGATGAATTTAAAACGGAAATGTGATATCTTATTGATCCGTTTCCGGTTGTAACTAAAAGCCTTCGAGTACGCATTCCGATATGTTAAGGAAAAAAATAGCTATAATCATTGGATGGTTTTATTTCCACCGGGAGGGATGTAATGTAGGATACATATATGTCTATGGAATTCTGTATGAATACCGGAAATATTCGCGGATATATCCTTGGAAGATTGCATAACTACCGGAAGTTAGTTTGGCGTTTCTGTCCTAGGAAGACATATTCTATGACGGTTATACACGTATGACTACCAGAATTGTTGGCAGATCTGGGTAACATACCACCGGAAATATTGTGGTGGCGGATATACCCTTGTAAGGTTAAATAATTATTGAAAAGGGTGTATTTGCGGAAAAAACGGTATTCTCAGAAAGGCTATATATTTTTTTAAACTTCTAAGAAAGGGGATGCATCGGGGAGGGGGCTACGCTAAAAATCCGTCTTCCACTTAAGGAGTTTCCACCCTTCGTAATACACATGTTTTTCTTTTTGTATTTTCGTGTCGTCATTTCCGTATTGCGTATCGGGCATTCCATTACCGTGGTGTAAATTATAGTAACACCGGGTAAACAATAGTACACGTGCGTGACGATGATATGTCAACACCCGATATCGAGACTTAACTTGGAAATGTGTAATCATACGTACTTCAGAAATAAAGCTTATGATACAAAGACATTAATTAACTCACGGGCAAACACTGACATATGATCAGACGACTTCCAAGAAGGTCGTATATGAGGCGCATGGAATGCAGACTGATGTGTTTTGTTTACCGACCTCACCTGTACGTATCACGTGCTAACAGTAGTTCACAAGCTCTTGGTCGCTACGACTTTTGTTGTCGAGCGAGTTACGCTCTGTCAGATAAATCGGTTCACAAATGCAATTACAATAACTCTGTTAAAAAGTGGTTTGTAAAATATCAAGATCCCTATAAAATGCAAATGCATGTGCGTGCACGTAATAACGGCATACCATGCGATAGCCTATGGTTACATATGTACCTGACATGTTAATATACCATGCGTAAGCAGGCTATGGAATGATGTCCAAAGTGTACATGATTGAGAGTAATTTTGTTCCATAAAAGAACAGTAAATTGACAATTAAATCTAGTAATTTAAATTACTTCCGTCGTTTTTTGGTATAGTAAAGAAAATAAGTGTCATTGTATAAATTCTATCCCTCTGCAAAAAGTTCCGGTTTTTTTCAAGGTAGACAACTCTCATCAGGATCAAAATTATTGTAAAATGTAAAATAAATTAATTATAAAGACTTTGTGTGCATTTGGTTCAATTTTTCAGTCTTTTTGTATGAAACTGTGTGTCCTGTTTGCTTTTAGCTTGTATCTAGTAACTGTTATCCATACAATTTCAATAAAAAACGCTTTTTGTAACATGTTGTAGATATTTTATGATAAATAAAATATTTGTAGGGTTGATTAGCAATGTTTCTTTTCATAATTTTATTGTTGTTATAGTTTTGAACAATGCCACACGCTCAAAAAATGTAAAAGTGTTGAATTTGACAAAAAATCAATATTTCGGTATTTTTTACAAAAAAATACCCAGTTTATCGGAATGCTTAGATTTTCATAAAATCATCTCTACATAGTGACATAACCATTATGTGAAACTTTCATTGAATTCTGGTGAAATGAAAATATCAATTAAAACCAATAGAAATGTTAAAAAAAAACCACAGTTACTATCCTCAAATTAAGTTAAAGAGTACAAGCTCACAGTGCTATTACTCCAAAGAAGAAGAGTTCCAATTTTTCCGAATTTTCCGTTCTTTTTGTGTGTGTTGCTTTCCGATTTATGAAAGGAAAGAGTTATATATAAAAGAAATATATTTTTTACCATTTCCTTTTCAATCAAAACATCTCTATAACGGAAAAAGGATCTCTCCGTTATAAACAAGGGAGCTAATGCTGGTCATGTCATTTGTTATCATGTAGATCTATTTGATTCAGATGTTCAAAATCCCTAAAAAGGGTATACAATAAATATATATATATATATGTTAGATAATAGAGGAAGTGACATAAATTTAACAGGAAATTATTTTTCAAATGTCTGTATTTCAGTCTTTTTGTATGAAACTGTGTGTCCTGTTTGCTTTTAGCTTGTATCTAGTAACTGTTATCCATACAATTTCAATAAAAAACGCTTTTTGTAACATGTTGTAGATATTTTATGATAAATAAAATATTTGTAGGGTTGATTAGCAATGTTTCTTTTCATAATTTTATTGTTGTTATAGTTTTGAACAATGCCACACGCTCAAAAAATGTAAAAGTGTTGAATTTGACAAAAAATCAATATTTCGGTATTTTTTACAAAAAAATACCCAGTTTATCGGAATGCTTAGATTTTCATAAAATCATCTCTACATAGTGACATAACCATTATGTGAAACTTTCATTGAATTCTGCTGGCTAATTCCGAAAGGGTGGAGCCTCCTTAAAGATATTTCTTAAATAGTTCTTAAATTGTGTAGGTTTAAAACAAACTTAACACGGCTTTTCACAATCTTAGGACCTGACTTTGTGAAATGAAAATATCAATTAAAACCAATAGAAATGTTAAAAAAAAACCACAGTTACTATCCTCAAATTAAGTTAAAGAGTACAAGCTCACAGTGCTATTACTCCAAAGAAGAAGAGTTCCAATTTTTCCGAATTTTCCGTTCTTTTTGTGTGTGTTGCTTTCCGATTTATGAAAGGAAAGAGTTATATATAAAAGAAATATATTTTTTACCATTTCCTTTTCAATCAAAACATCTCTATAACGGAAAAAGGATCTCTCCGTTATAAACAAGGGAGCTAATGCTGGTCATGTCATTTGTTATCATGTAGATCTATTTGATTCAGATGTTCAAAATCCCTAAAAAGGGTATACAATAAATATATATATATATATGTTAGATGATAGAGGAAGTGACATAAATTTAACAGGAAATTATTTTTCAAATGTCTGTATACAGTAAGACAGTAATTGTACTCCCTAACATAAGTATCATGGCGGTATGAATCGTTATTGTGACCTTTCTTGATTTTTTAAACATCCACAATCTTAAAATATTTCAATTTTAAGGATCCCCGTACCACTGCCAAAAATGCATTTTTTTTACCGGCATTACAGTATCCAAACTATAGCTTTATTTGATTATTACTGAAAAGAAACATACACCTCACGAAACTCTGATAAAACTACGTTCGCTCTAACCAGCTGAGTTATCTGATTAGCGGTGATTTTCTGGATCAAGCTTGCTATTGTTATATCCAAAACCGAAGTCAAGGGGAGGTTAATGTTTGTATGAAATCTTCAAAGGATTTCTCTTAGTGTCTAGTATGCAATGGAACAGAGATCCTTAATAAAACACGTGATTTTGTCTTTAATCATTTGATGCCATTGTTTGGATTGTTCATCTTCGACGATGCAGTAGGAAGTTAATGATGTACATGAATCTTTTATTTTTTTTATCATTTTGATGTTAAAATTATTTTTGCTTGTATGTTATGCGCAGTGTTTTTATATCATTAATGTATCGCAGACATGCTTCATTTCATATTTCTTATTGTTGATAGTATACTCAATTTCCCTATCACAGTCTGTAAAATTACCTGTTATCAGTTTCAGACACTTTTACGGTCTTTCTGTAGGCTCTCTTACGACTTCAGGTCAACTGAGTCTTTGAGACTTCCGGTTTGATACTTCCGGTTTGAGATTTCCGGTCTCAAATCTATTCATCCAACCTCATGTACAGTTTTAAGTTAAAATTCACCGTTTTGATTAATATCGAGCTGAAATTATCATTTTAATGCAGCATACTACATGTATATTTTTTTCAAACATATTTATATTGATGCTTATGATTTCAATCGATAGAAATCAATCGATAGAAACATATGCTCAGTGCTTATGTAGAGGAGTTAATTCTACTGAATAGTTGTCAAAACTCAATAAGGAAAGGTGGTATAATTATGTCTGGTATATATATTACGAGATGGTCATTAATACAATGTAACTATGGAAACTATCATTAGTCAGTGCTTTAATATTATCATCTTCATCAGTTGTTTTTTAATGTACCAAATTAGATGTATCGTCAAAATACAAATATCGCGGTATGTGTCATATCGCAATAAAAAATCGTAGTTCTATCAAACTGTATCATCGAAAAGACAGATATCGTGGAACTTTTCATGTCACAATACATATATAGTATCGTGATACAGATAGTGTGGTTAGTATCATATCATGATTCTTATCATATCGTGATACAGATCTCGTGGTTCATGTACCTATCATATCGTGATACAGATATTGTGGTACGTTAACATATCGCGATACAGATAACGTGGTATCATATGATGATACGGATATCGTGGTTCTTCCATATCGTGATTAGATAATATCGCGGTACAGAGATCGTGGTAAATATCATATTGTTGTACATACATATATATCGTGGTTCGTATTATGTCGTGATACAGACTTCGTGGTATGTAACATATTGTGATTCAAATATAGTGGTTCTATCTGTTCACAATAAAACAAATCATGGTATATGTTATATCCGAATATCGTGGTACATTTCTTGTCTCGACAAGTATACCCTATAGCAGTATGCAACAACTTTGACAAAGTGTAGATTTCGATCAAAGGGGGATAACCTGTATCTAATTTGAAGGTTACATTATACCAATATAGGTTATCATGATTCTAGTATTATATTCGATATCATATACAATAAACTAAACACTTCAGTTAAAGTGTCATTTTAAAAGTGCACTTTTATCGCAAAAATGTTATAAATGTTTCTTGTGTCAATCATCACGTATATAATTTTGATATTCCACTGTTATATTTCATCGCCAAATAAGAATATTTTTTTTTATATTTTGCATATCTTATAACAAAATAAAATTGACACATCATTATCAGTTGTTCTATCTTTATTAAGTATAAATACAACAAAACCTCAATTTACTGCCACATTTTGTCAATAGTATTCAAGAATATTGCCCTTATATAAGGTTTGGAAAAATAACTCACAAGTAAAACTAAGCATTGGATGAACTTCATGCAATGGTATAACAAATAGAGTTAACCACATGCACCCTTATAAAAATGACTTAAATTCAGAAATGTGTCCAGTAGCTGCCTTTGACTGCATTCTTGTTTTCAGATTTAATTTATCAACTTATTTCAATTAAATAGTTTGGAACTCTTCGGTAAGTGAGAATATGTTTGATTAATAATGTGACGTACATACATGTATATCCTTAAATGAGAAAACATCCCTCACACTGAGAATATAATGCAATCGCATATTAGTTATCACACCAAATTGAAAAAAAAAGTTTCACACTAACTGAAGGATTACACTTCCAATCCCTATATAACCTGACGCATATTAGCAATATATTGCCTGTCCTACACGCCTACAGTTGATCTTAAAATACATGCAAAATAAGTCAGGAGTTATTAAGAGATAATGAGTTAACTCCCCTTGCTATAAGTTGTTGAGAACGATGAGAACTGAGAATGAGTTACATCCCCTTGCTATAACTGTTGTTGTTGAAAACGATGAGAACTGAGAATGAGTTACCTCCCATCACAGAATGGTGAAAATAGCCTGACTAACGATGAGGTTCGAGCAACGTTCACTCTTCACTTTTTTTAGATCATATTTGTCAGATATCATTTGCACCAACGAGAAAATAAAAAATAAAAATGGTCAGATATTGGAGCGACACCATCCTTCGTTATTACTCTTAATTGTAATAGCAAATAGCCAAACAGATGACGAGAAAGGAGAGTGGCGAATTACCTCCCTTTGTCATCGATAGGTTCAAGTAATTCCTTGACAGACTATAAGGCAAAGATTTACCTCCCTTCCTTATCATTCTATACTATGATAGTTTTATTTTTGGTTTAAACAATATTTTATTTCATCACTTGCACACTACATTACAATACAGTACAGATGCAACGAGGATCAGAAAACAAGCTATAAGCTTATATTAATTCATCTCCTCTTTATTTTTAACCACATCTGTTGTTTTACATCAAACTCCTGGCTCAAAATATTTGATTTTCACCGGTTGCTAATTTAAAGAACATGCCGTATTTTGTTTGTGAATTTATTATAATGAGACCTATTGTGTCAACAATACCGTTCAATATCAAATTGTGCAGACGGACCATAAGTTTTCATTCTCTCGGCACATCACCCAAATTTGTTTTACTATCATGAAAAACAAGCCGAAATCCTCTGCTCCGACACATGCCAATCTTTCATTACTACCAAGAAGATATCCCACGATTCCTCCGCCCTGTCACTCCCTCTTCTCCCCAGTTTCAAAGCTGTCGGCGGAAATAACCTCTAATTCCTCCTCTACGACATACGTCAACGTTTTCATAACTGTCAATTATTACGCACGACACGTTGTTTTAACTGAATGGTAAATATAAGTTATCAGTAATGGTACTGTCTGATCCGTGGGTTTTTAACCGTAAGAGAAATAACCGTTGGTTCTCCTGTCCTATTCAGCGCTTTTTTATCAACTAAAAGAAATAGACCTTATTCCTCCTTCTTGACACATGTCCGCGGTTTTAAATTGTTAAGGGAAATAACCCCCGAGTCTTCTTCCTGACACACGCAAACACTTTCTGAACTATGCTGAGACGTGTCCCCTCCTTGGCACATACAAGGAGTACGATGTTAACTTTCACCATATTTTACGCTTTCGTCACTGTCGGCATCAAGGTCAGCGACAGAGGAAAGAGATTCGAACCCAGAGGTTTTCTCCGTGTAGTCCATTGTAAGATTGCAGTTAAAGTCTTGAGTACTAGTTAGAGGGTAGGTAAAGTCACCGGGAAATTCCTGGCAAATTCCGTCAACCTGACTGATGAATGCGATCATTTTTCGACAGCTGTCGATCTTCAAATCTCTAAAGTAAAAAGCTAGCACAGACCACGGCAACATGGCCGTCACGATCTCACGCCGGAGAGGGATGTAGTTGCTAGCAATCACGCGCTCTAGTAGACACAAATATGGAGGCATGACGCCACACATGTCAAGCTGTCGTACACTTACTACTGGGCATGCGTCATCGCATTCGTGAAGTGAACAGAACAAATTCTTGAGATCTTGTAAGTCTTTGTCGTTTTGGCATTTCATGATAAAGGGATTCAATTCAATGAGCAAATCCAACTTCCGACTGCACACGAATGCTCTACGCGGGGCGGAAATGGTCTCCAATGGGGACGTCATGGCGGTGAGAGTTACCGTTCCTTTGATGTTATCATGAAGTCTTTCGTAGACAAGCCAGGGCAGGTGTGTTCTGAGTGACCATGCAAACAGACCTGCTAATGTATCCTCCCAGGTCGAGGCCTGGAATCGCGTGTTTAATTTAACGCACGTTTCTACATCCAAGTTCTCATTCGAAGCTAGTAAGTTCACTGGTGCATTGAACGGTTTGTGCGTCACTGATGATATTTGACATAGAGGCCACGGATCTTCTTCTAACATAAACTCGACCTCGTGTTCCATTATCCGCCCAGTGTAGCTGGTACAGATGCGCAGGAAGTAGTATGTTTCCAAGACACCGTCTAAAGTGTCATGTTTTTCTATAAACACCGGTCCGCCCGGTTTATTTGTATCGTAGATGGGCAGATCGGGGTATTCGTTTTTCGTCAGAAGAAAACGAGACACAGACTTGTCGTCTGACTCGTAGTCCATAACCTCTAGATAGTACATGTTCAGCTTGCTTATCAAATGATCGTGGTCAGAGCGCGGGAAGAAAATGGAAAACTTTATGTTACCAACACGAGACTCGTCATCGATGCTGATTATGTCAGCCTTTTCTGGTTGATACCACAAACCCCGGATACGAGGGTAGTCCCTTAGTATAGAATAGTCATGCGTGGGGACGAGGGTGGTCGCTTGGTTTGCAATCACCGGAATTGCGTCATCAAAGGGGAGAGCACTGCTGATGCAGTCGAATTTATGGTAGTACAGCGGTCGGAAATGTTCCCAGTCTCCCTGGTCGATGTTTTCTGGTATGAGGCAGTACTGGTTGTTGTCCACCGCGGGTCTCCATAGTGTCAAAGTCTCGTCCTCGAGACTTATCTCCGTGATCTTGGTGTGCGGATTCTTTGGCTGTAATGTAAAAATACGCAGGTTTTGAGTAATTAGTAGAGACTAGTGATGTCTTACCTTCAGAAAGCTATGAATAATTGGACACCAATATGTCTATTACAAGCAAATGTAATATTGTTAGCAAAATCTTAAGCTATTATTTGATACCATTACTTAAATGAATAGAGTGCGGTCAATGCATTTCTTTCTTACTTTGTATTCCGTCTTTGCGTATTGCAGAGTTATCTTCTCTTGTGAGCAGATATTGATTGCTACGTCATTGGTTTGTGTGAGAAAATTACGTCGTTTTTTCAAAAACTGATGACGTTACTCCCACGAACAAATGACGTAACAATCAATACCTGCTCACAAGAGCAGGTAACTCTTCAATACGAAAAGACGGAATAGTGCAAACAATATTAATAAAAAAGAGAACTCCGAAACAATTTTATAGACAGCATCTAAAGGTATGGATTATTCCTTAATCGAACAGTAAAATAAAATTAAAGAACATTTTTTTACCACATTAGAAATAATTACAAAAGTAAAATATATTCCGGATAATTTTGTCGGTCTTCCAAATCCTTGATCTTCTAATTAGAAAATGTAAGACGTTTTCCGGGAGTGAAGCTTGAATAATTTGATATCATAACTCTAACTATACACTCCATTTATTATTTTCTTAAATGTACATTAAAATAGCCATGGAAATCGGTAAGCAAATTATCTAGAGGGAAATAATAGAGAATTTTAACAGCCAATGGACGAAACATTTAAATGACCCTGGTACATGTACCATTACCCTTGAATCTTTACTGAATCTATAGTCTACATTAAACTCAATGTACATGTATCCGAACTTGTCTTATTGTTAACAGATCCCTGACCTGGCAATGACCTTTAACTGAACGGATACCGTTTATAAATATATCTTTACTTATGTAAGTAAATACCACTGCTCATGTATATATATATTGGATCTTTATTCCGATAAATTAAGGAATGGAAATAAAAATATAAATAATACCGCATGTATCTGCATAGGGTGTAGCATATATGTATACATAACAACATGTATATATGTGAATTATATTTCATTCCGGATTATATTTCGGAAACGACTGTGTATGGATTAGCGACCACGAGAGTATTTGGATTTCTAGTGTGTCACAAAATTATTGAATGAAGATATGCGTGAACTTCACCCGGTATCCCAAGTCAGGCCTGGTTTAAGACAATTATTGTTGAAGCTGTACAGCATTTACGCGACACCAAATCAATATTGTGTCAGCAATATATAGCCAATACCTACGATTGTAATGTATGGACATGAACGAGCTGTCACCAGGACGAGGAGCTGTACTTGTGTGACACTTGTAAATATGGTATCACATTGCGTTACCGTCCGTGACAACACCGTAAGTTTACTCAAAATGTAAAGTAATTTTAAATGAACCCTTGTCGCCCATTACACATTATCGACGGAAGTCAATCGGCCTTTAAATCGCTAAGTTCCCATTAGATTCAAATATATGTAAATATAGCATCGCTATTCTGTCGGCAGTTTATTCAAGATTTTAACAAATCATCAAAATCAACATATTATCCACGTGCGTAAAACAGGGTTTCGTATAAACCTGATAACGGATATTGTACAGACGACGAAAAGGCTAATTTCCCTGTCTTTATTCATCACTTTACCGACTCCCGTGCGATCCGACCAAGGCAATTAGTTCCCTTGATGACGAAGAGGACTGTTTTTCATGGTTTTATGCCTGAATTTATTAACGACACTGCCCTATCCGACTAAAAGAACCAGTCTCCGATATAATGACAAATTTCGTCTATATTTCTAAGTTAACCGACTCCTGTCCGATCCGACCAAAGGAATTATTTCCCTATATGACGAAGAGGACTGTTTTCTATGCTTTTATGCCTGAATTTATTGACACTGCCCTATCCAACCAAAGCAACAATCCCTAGATAGCGACAAAAGCTCATTTATCTCAGTCTTTATTCCCGAATTTCATAACGACACTGTGGGTTCCAGTTCCGACCAGATAGACTCAATGCTCATTGATGTTGGTAAAGATTCATTTACTCTTAATTTGCATGCCAGCACCTAAAGTAAAAATGGCAGTAATTTTCGAAATTCAAGATTCCTTCTCTCGATATCGCATACTAGTTTAGTATAAATGGTCGCCAAAACATCAAACAAACACAAAGGTGAAAGACAAACGTCAACTTGAATATTGAAAGATATCGATATATCGAGAGCATCGATATATCGAGATATCGAGAACGTCACATTTCGATTTCGAAGATAGAGATAGTGGGATTGTAGTCCCTATCGCACCCATCTTACGATCTGTAACCCTGTATTATATGTACATCTATATCTACCTTAACTAGTTATAACTTGTCATCTATAAATCAACATTTTATGACACCTAATTATCGTGGTATTTAAATATTAAATGCCCCGACGGAACTATATTTCAATTATTGGTTGTTAAATTCAGTTTGTTTTCAGAAATCAAATATCCCCCATCAGGATAAACACGAAAGCTAATATCCAATTTACGTTTAATAAATCTTTAAAGCTAATATGCCAGCGTATTGAATGTCTAGTATTGATTACTTGTACCAATAAAATCAATAACCTGCTAGGCATTCTCGAAACCAAGATAGACAAACGTTATAAGACCCTGTGTTAGAGATTGCCTTTACTAAATTCAAATTCAAATTCAAATTCTTTATTACATCTTGAGCATATACCTCTCATCAATTCAAAAGAAAATGTCATTATGCACATTCAAAATCAGCTCAGGCTGTAAGATACAATCAGCATATGGAATTTATAATTTAAATACAGGTGTTTTTATGAACTAATAGCTTGCAATCAAACTAGCTAGAAGCCAACGGAGTAGAACGTATAGAAAACATACATGATATATGAACTTACCCAGGTTAGTTAATTCTTAAGTATTACCGGTTGATAATAATTTGATTAATTCATAGACAGGGGCTTTAACACGATAACATAATTTAATATATTTACTTCTTAGTTCGGTGAAGGAGGGGCATTTTAGAATGAAGTGGAATTCGTCTTCTATATCCTTACTAGTACTGTTGTCCATCTCCTACAGGGCATAGTAAACTGTACATTGGATCTCGGACTGTCTCGACACTTGAGGAAAACAAGTTGGACTCTAATACTGAAAAATCATAAATTTTCGTGGGACATTAAATTTCGTTTATTTCGTGGATAACAAAAATCCACGATATTAAATCCCCACGAATGCATAAAGGTATGATATAAATAGGGGAAAATCAGGAATCAGCAAAATATCATGTCCTTGAAACAGGCCAGTAGATATATGAAAACTACGTAATTATAGCCCAACGAAAATAAATGATTCTACAGTAACCACACTTGGACCCTTATGATAACAGTTTGACCCTAACATCAACATTTGGATTATAAAATGAAAAGTTTAACCCTAAAATTAACATTTGGACCCTAAAACTATCTGGTGAGCCCCCACAACAACAACTAGACCCCTTTATAACAAAAGCTGGATGCCCATAACCAGTAGCCCGGGTACTCGGGCTACATTTAGCCAGACGCAGACCCACATGTGGACCCTCATCATCGGAGATGGATCATCATAATCAACGTTGGACCCTTATACCCACTGGCGAAGAAAATTTGAACTCAAATAAACCGAACAGCTCCGGAATTCAAGAAGACCGGATTAACGAGGTTCCACTTTACACAATCTTTCACAACATGTCATGTTGAGCATTAGCATTTCACATCGTTCCCAAAAAAATAGTTTGCACCTTCCCGTAAGTATTTCGATAAGCCTTGTTCACGTACCCCTCCCCCCTTCACGTGAACACACTTTGTTTGCCAGTAACAATAGGTATGTCCTTAAGTTGGAAACATATGAATGATAATTATATTATCATGATTATTTATATTTATGTTGTACAATAACGCTTCATACAAAAAATCCTATCGTCTAGCGTTATACACTGCATGTACATACACTACTGAACTGTGATTAGCAATTATCACTCCATCATAAGGCCGGCTGGCACCCAATAAACAAACCATAGTCTAAAATGTAAATCATTTGGAAGATTGTCAACATTACTATTATATCATTAAATATGTTTCTTTGTTGTTCGAGACCACAAACTATGTGAATCAATCCGCACACTCAGCATATCGGCTTTTAGAATCTTCCTTATTCAATTAATAATTTGGACCGTGTATTTTGTAACTCTACTGGGAAGCTTAAATTTCTAAAACATATATATAACTTTTGATGTTTGATTTTTTTCTCATATCATTTTATTGACGCTTTATAGTGGTGGTCATTTTGCCAAATCTGAAAACTTTTCTGTTTTCTTTACCAGTTTCAATAATGTTGAAAGTTATTGTATATTACAATGTAACTTAAATATATGTTAAAGCTTATGAAACTCTACACAGCTCAATAATCGGGTGCTTTTGTTCCTAAAGCACGAATACCTGGAATAGCGTCCCGTTTTAGCTGTCGTTTTGTAAAGAATAAAGTTGACACCACCAAAGACCTCCACCGTTGATTAGAATAATTATTTGATATTTAATTGATCCGGAATGTGCATCGACTACACAATGAGGACCGACCGAGATACCGGTACTTATTTTATTGTTCCCGTAATGAGCAAGATCAGCAGAATCTTAGTGCTAAGTTGTTATTGCATCAAACGCACAACTGATGCTTATCTTACACGTGTGTAACAAAACGCTTAAAATGAAAAAAAATAATCCGTACCTATTTTCAAAATAATACACCCTTCAATATGAACCTTTTAAAAGTACATATTCACGAAATTTAGCTCAAGCATGAAAATTACGAAGGTATACATGCATGTGTAGTTCATAGGCTAAGGTACGGACTAAATAGTGGATTCATAGATAAGGCTGATGTAAAGACTAAATCTAGACTAAGGTATAGACTAAATCT